GAGAGAGAGAGAGAGAGAGAGAGAGAGAGAGAGAGAGAGAGAGAGAGATAGTATGTGAGAAATTGTATGATTTGTATTATTGAGATCGTCTATTCTTCCATGATACAGAGCGGGGCAGTACGGCAACGGACGCTGGACTTGAACTGGCCCTGCGCACGCTACAGGCTGAGAACGGACAGGCGAACGGAATCATCAATGTAATTGCCGTCATCACGGACGGATTCTCAAACAACATGCGCGCCACCTGTGAGAAGGCGACAGAAGTTAAGGCAGCTGGTAAGTCACACGGGTGACGCTAGATGGCGGCACTAGACAGCGACCTTTTTTTTTTTTTTAACTGTGGGTTTGTCATCCGACGTGTTTTCGTGGTTAACCTATGCAATCGCTGGCTGTGTTTGTTTTACTGAGTTCGGCGTTGTCTTGGCACGAAGTCTTGCTGTAGCTCACGCGCAAACAGCTGCCTTCTTGTTGCGAATTCATCACGTGCAAACAGCTGCCCTCTTGTTGCGACTTTATCACGTGAAACAGCTGCCCTCTTGTTACGAAGTCATCACGTGCAACCAGCTGCCCTCTTGTGGCTTGACGTCATCACGTGTGTGTTTACATCTGTCTTGCATGCATTTTATATAGTGTTTCCATCTGTCTTGCAGGCGTTACAGTGTTTACATCTGTCTTGCAGGTGTTACAGTGTTTACATATGTCTTGCAGGCGTTACAGTGTTTACATCTGTCTTGCAGGCGTTACAGTGTTTACATCTGTCTTGCAGGCGTTACAGTGTTTACATCTGTCTTGCAGGCGTTACAGTGTTTACATCTGTCTTGCTGGCGTTACAGTGTTTCCAACTGTCTTGCAGGCGTTACAGTGTTTACATCTGTCTTGCAGGCGTTACAGTGTTTACATCTGTCCTGCGGGCGTTACAGTGTTTACATCTGTCTTGCAGGCGTTACAGTGTTTACATCTGTCTTGCAGGCGTTACAGTGTTTACATCTGTCTTGCAGGCGTTACAGTGTTTGCATCTGTCTTGCTGGCGTTACAGTGTTTACATCTGTCTTGCGGGCGTTACGGTGTTTACATCTGTCTTGCAGGCGTTACAGTGTTTACTTCTGTCTTACAGGCGTTACAGTGTTTACTTGTGTCTTGCAGGCGTTTCAGTGTTTGCGTTCGGCATCACGGAGAACGTGCAGGACTCGGAGCTGGAGTGCATCGCCTCGAAGAACGACAACATCTACAAGATTGCCAGCTTCGCCAGTGCCGCCAAGATCGCCAACTTCCTACGTGCCGTCTTCTACAACTAGGTGGCGCCACCGTCGCCAACGCTCGCTCGCAGCGCCACCAATATCGCCAACTTCCTGCGCGCCGTCTTTTACAACTAGGTGGCGCCGCCGTCGCCAACGCTCGCTCGCAGCGCCATCTGTCGCCAGCGCCGCCAATATCGCCAACTTCCTGCACGCCGTCTTCTACAACTAGGTGGCGCCGCAGTCGCCGACGCTCGCTCGCAGTGCCATCTGTTGCGAGGGCGGTCGGTTTGTGCTGAGAACAATACATATTGTTATATATTGCATATATTGTTCGCGGGGTTTGTGGCGCCAAAGTAGTCGGCTGTGCACGGTGGCGCACCCTGGTGTGGGTCGTCGAGCGGGAGTAAAGGTTGTGGGGATGTCTGTAGTTAGCAGAGCGATTTTGGCTCAATGTGCGAGTTTGTACAGATATACATTTATATAAATAAAAAAAACCATAAATATATACGCCTGTCAATATGTGCGTGCGTGCGTATCTGAGTGCGCGTGCAGTAACAATCGTATAATGCGCTCATCAATGAGAGCGTGGCTACCTATCGATAACATCTAATCAATACCTCGATTACCTTCGAGTTCTAAGGCTTTGAAATTTTCCTACAAAATATAACAGTAGCGTCAACTACGATAGACACGAGATCGTGACGTGTTTTGCTTGTACATTCACTTCATGCGCGTTCTAATTAAGGTACGGTACCACGTGACTAACTCTGCCGCTCTGACGTCACGGCGTGTTCATCCACTCGGGAGTGAAATGTAGGCGTGTTTGAGATATAGAGCGGGAGGGGGGCGTGGCTATGTACGCGGTTAGGGTAAAATCTATACGATGCTGTGGGTATTGTTTTTTCACAATGATTAAATACAAGGTATTAAAGCAACACTTGTTACGGTGTTTTGCCTGTTTCATACACGCGGGCGCACGCACACACGCACGCACGCACGCACGCACGCGCACGCACACACACACACACACACACATTCACACACACACACACATACAACTGCAGCCGTCTCTCGTTGGGGTTTATCTTAAATTTTCGTCTTTGCGCGTGCGGGTGTGCGAGCGTGCGTGCGTTTAGTGAGGCTTGCTATGCTAGGTGAAGGCTCCACCTAATCAGATGCTTATCACTATACCCTTAATCTACATTTAGTGTAGCTATATTATCAGGAGTAAGATAATATAGGTCTATATTATATACGATATATATATTTATATATATATAAGATCCTATATTATCTTACTCCTGATATTATCATTAAAACCCGTGAAAAAACACGTGAGAAAACACGTTGAAAAGCATGAAAATCGAGAGTTACTCCAATCCGTCTTCGTCCACGGAGGCTTACTGTTGTATGCCACCTATAGTGCCCAGCGTGAATTACCAGGTAATTCCCGTGCTCTCGTCCAATGTTCTATTGTCACTTGTACAGCAACGTCCAATATCACGTCGCCAAATTATTCTCCAATGTTGCACTATTTCGTCTCTAGAAAAGGCCTTTTTTGGCATTTCTTTTTGCAGAAATTCGGCACTAGAGTGCAATAATTTGCATTATGCACGCAAGTTATAGATGCCTCATGGACGTCTAGAAACCATTAGAAGAAATGTCTTCGTGTGTGGGAAGGTCTTGTTGTGTATTCGTGACATTCCGTCAGGTGGCGTAGCCACAGCGAGCAGTTGGTCATTTTTGTCTTTGAAATGTGTTCAGACAACTTTGCAGAAATTCGCATCATAGAGCTGGCAAAAGTTTCGAGCGGAGCATAGAGCACGAATCTGTAGTTATTTAACATAAATAAAGTGTATGTTGTGTAAGCGCAGTAACAGTGTTTTTAATTGCTTTCTGTTCGATGCTTAATCAGGCCTGCCGCCTATGGACGCCCCTACTGTTGTTCAACACCTTACTCCGCCTGGTAAGGAGAGCTTTTCTGCCAAAGAAATCGAATAATTGAGTTTTATGTTAATGAAAATCAGTTATGCAAGTCCTCTAACATGGTTTTTAGACACATGCATGTTCAAATGACATTTAAACATGTATTTTATGTAAACATGTACATATCCGTGTACATATGTACATGTTATTTACATATCTACATTAAAATACACTCATTTTACACTCATTTGGTACCAGAAAATAGATAATTATCCTCGTTTCACTCTTTTCTGGCATTCCTAACACTAACAGTATCAAAATATCTTAACTTTGTTGGTTGCAGTTCACCCTAATCCTCGTTCTAACACTGCGCCTAACCGCATGGAGCGAACATCAATTTCCATTGATTTCTGTGGTTTGGGGGCTCATTTCAGAGAGTGATATCTCAGCTCCTGGAGTCATGCAACATTTGAAATTCGGAACCCCTATGAGGAAATTATTCATCTAAAAATTTCAAGTCGATCCGTATCTCCGCCGCTCATTATGGTAGCTGAGGATAGTGAACATAGTGAGGGTTTGTCTATATTCAGGCCGGTACGGGAGATTACGGTACGCATATATGTCATATATTTGCTAATATATTGACTAATCGCGCGTCAATAAACTCAATATTCACAGAGAGTATAGCTAAGACATGTTTCTATAGGTATCTAGAATATATTATGCAAATGATCTCCCGTACCGGCTTGAACCTGCCACGTATGGACTGCAATGCTGAATAAACCTGGGCGTTTTAAACAATCGATTTCATGTGTTAAGTTACCATCATTTTTATAACTAGTAAACATATCCAGTGAACTGACTTCGTCGGTTTAAACAGAGTTTCCACCATATAAAAGAACTGCTTCCCGCATAATTTTAGCCCAGCTCTAAACAAAAAGAATCAGATCGTATTCAAATTAGGCCAAATAACATTCCGTCACATGCCGATACATAGTCTTGTTCATTTACTGTTGAAAATTATGATATATTTCTCACCCGGAAAGATGCGCCTCATATCGTGAAAAGCGAGTCGTTCACATTCTTCACTATTCACGTAGCTTCACCATAATCACGCGGGATACTGATCGACTTTGGAAATTTTTAGATAAATAATTTCCCATAGGTCCACATTTCAAATTTGCATGACTCCAGACTGAGAATATCACATCTCTGAAATGATGCCCCTAAACCAACACAATCATATGGAAATGATGTTCGCTCATGCGTCTTTAGGACGCAGTGTAGAACAGATTTAGGTAACTGCGCAACCAACAATTAAGATATTTGAATACGGGGTTACTCGTTAAGTGTTAAAGAATGCATAACAAAGGAAACCAGGATAAATATTTATTATCTGGTACCAAAGTATGACAAATATGTATTTTAATGAAGATCGTAACAGTACATTTACAGCGGTATAGTAACGATATTCCATGTTTACATAAAAATACATGTTTCAATGTCATTTGAACATGCATGTTCCTAAAAACCCATGTTAAGACTTGCCATACTGACTCTTCATTACCATAAAACGCAATATTCGATTCTTGCCCCCCCACGAAACTCTCCTTACCCCGAGCGAAGTAACGGTGTTGAACAACAGTAGGGCGTCCCATAGCGGCAGAGTCCCTAGCACGAACAGCATCGGAACAGCAGGCCTAGCAGCGAACAGAAAGTCAATTAACAAACAATTGTTACTGCGCTTACGACAACATAACAACCTTATCATTTAAATAACTACAGATTCGGTGATCTATGCCCGCTCGAACTTTATGCCAACTCAGATGCGAATCTTCTGCAAAAGTTGTTTGAACACATTCAAAGACAAATACCACTGCTCGCTTGCTACGCCACTGCACGAATTCACGAATACACAACAAGACCTTCCCACACACGGAACGACATTTCCCTCTAAATGGTCTACAACTCCATAGGGCACAACGCGGCCACAATTCAATATTATTTGGCATGCTCCAGTGCAGAAGTTTCTCAAAAGAAATCAAAAACAGGCCTTTACTAGAAGACAAAATAGTGCAACATTGTGAGTAATTTGCGGAGGCTTACTGTTGATAAATGCCACCATATTTAGTGCCCATCGTGAACATTACCCAGGTAATTCCCCGTGCTCTCAGTCCAAATTCCTATGTCACTTGTAACCGCAAGGTCCAATATCACTCGTGACCAAAGACGGGATGAGTAAACTCGATTTCTGCATTTTCAACGTGTTATTCTCACTGTTTTCACGTTTTAAATGAATAATCATCAGGAGTAAAGATAAATCTAGGCAATCTATAATAAGTGAGAGGATATATATCGTATATCATAAAATACTAGACCCATAATGTATAATCTACTCCTATAGATAACTACACTAAATGTAGATAAGGGTAAATGATAAGCATCTGCATTAGTTCGAGCCACCTAGCATAGCAAGCCTCCACTAAACGCACCACCGTCGCACACCCGCACGCCCAAAAGACAAAATTCTAAGATAACACCCCCGAAGACGGCTCATAGTATGTGTGGTGTGGGAATGTTTCGATGTGTGTTTGTGGTGCTGCGACGCGCGTGCGTGGGTGCTTGCGTGACGTGGTAGTGTGCCCCGCAAGTGTATGAAACAGGCAAAACACCGTAACAAGTGTTCCTTACATACCATTGTATTAATAATTTGTAAAAAAACAAATACCGCACAGCATCCGTAAATAGATATTAACCTAACCGCGTAATGCCACCACCCTCACTCTATATCTCAAACACGCCTACATTTCACTCCCGAGTCGATAACACCCGGTGACCCAAGCTGCAGAGTTGTCACTGGTACCCCGTGACTTAATTAGAACGCTCATACAGTGATATGTCAACAACACACTCACGTATCCGTTCTACGTAGTTACGCTACTGTATATTTTTGTAGAAACTTCACAAGCCTATAACCGAAGCTAATCGAGTATGATTAGATGTTCATGATGAGAGACCACGCCTCATTGACCGCATATACATATGTTACTTGCACGCCCTCAGATAACGCACGCACAACGCCACAATAATTGAACCGCGTATAACTATTTATGCGTTTTTTATATAATAAAATGCATATCATCTTACTAAACTCGCACATGAGCCAAAATCGCTCCTGCTAACTCCAGACATCCCCATAACCTTCTACTCCGCTCGACCCCACACCAAGGTCGCCACCTGCACACCGCCTACTTTGCGCACAACACCAAACCCCCGCGAACATAAAATCAATATAATAACAATCCATTATTCGTTTCATCAGCACAAACGACCGCCCTCGCAACAGATGACTGCGACGGAGCTCGCTACTTCAATTTTTATTAAATTTAAAACTACGAAATTTGAATACTTGCGCCATGAACATCCCCGCACCGTGCGCCAACCCGAAAACGTTCCGCTATTTGACAATTTATTTTGCACGTACTGGACCGGGAGGCTTAATCACCAAAAAAGTGCAATATATTATACACTAATAGCTATTAACCGCGATATTCATTTAGCAAATTATCCACATAAATAAACTATATCGGTTCTAAATCATTACAAATCCTTTTGCTTACTAATAAATAAAAAAACACCTCGATCTGAGCCTTCTCAAAAGTGTTTTGGCCCACTTTAAACGTCGCTTTCGGATGTCCGCCACCCATCGTTTAATCCAAACTCATATACATTAGTTTACACCATTATTAATAATTTATCTGATGGTGATGAACATGAACTTTTTAGTCGTAATTTTAACCTAATATAACTGGAAAAATAACCCTAAGAACCTAGAATAAACTATCCCTTAACATAAAACCATCATATTGATTCCTTGGCAAAATCTCTCCTTACCAGGCGGGAGTTAAAGCAGCAAAACGGATAAACTTGAAAATTTTTAAAGGAACTGAATAATTTAGACCTTTCCATATATGCACGGGGGAATTATCAAATTGGCATATCCAAGGAA